GCAAGTGGGTCCTTGTGACACACGGGGATGGGGGCAGCCAGCGCTCAACCTGTCATCCACGTGGCTGGCCTTGTACGTAAGAGGTTATGAACAGGTGGAGCTTTCCTTACCTCTTCCCCTTCCCCTTTTTTCCTTTTCTTTTTTTCTTTCCCCTTTTTTTCGCTTCTGCGCTCTGATTCACAATGTGACAATATATATATATATATATATACTTTAGTTTTAACTTTAAATTTGGTAAAGAAATCTGATGTGACCCTGAAGCAAAAAGTTGTTCAGTTTATTTTTCTGGATAACATAATTTCTTTTCAGATTTCTTTTTAGTAGCATCCTTGCTTGGCCAGGCCGACTGGGCAAACAAGGTGACCCGGGCGGCCCGGCTGGTAGCCTAGGTTCGACCCGGCCCCCAGCCCCCCCAGAAAAAGGAAAAACGAAAAACCTCGCCCAGCTCAGTTGGTACACCCCTGAAACAAATCAAAAAATATGTGAGGTGAGAGAAAAATATATACATCGTCAAACAGTGGTTGGCAACTTGGTGCCCACCTCAGGGTATCAGTTGTCGGGCAGTTGATGCTTAAACCACAACTGGGGTTAAGGTGGATTATCACTTACAGTGTAATCAGTTAGGGGATTCTGCAGACTGTTGAGGGTTCAGCCTCCTGATGAGTCGGTGAAACTCTGACGAAACAGTTTGTCACAGCCCCTCGTTTGTGGTCCTTTTCTCCCTCTCTGCCTACGGTTTAACGGGCAGCTCTGTTTGACTATATCTCTTCTTGTATCCTAAAGAAAAAAGCGGTCCGCACGTGACAAAAAGCGGTCCGCACGTGACAAAAAGCGGTCCGCGCGTGACTCTCCCACTGGGCCCAGGAAAAATCGGGCAGGGAGTTCTACGCGGGGTGCTGCAGGAGACCGAGGAGGGCGCATCAGTTCGTGGGCACCATACTTGTGACGAGCGTTGTGGTGGCGCGCGGGGGTGTCGGTTCGTGGGGGAAATTCGCGGGGGTGGATGGCACGTCAGTTCGGGGGCGCCGTATTTGTGACGAGCGTTGTGGTGGTGCGCGGGGGTGTTGGTTCGTGGGGGAAATTTGCGGGGGTGGACGCCGTATTTGCGACGAGGGTGGTGGTGGTGCGAGGGGGTGTCGGTTAGTGGGGGAAATTCGCGGGGCCCGTATTTGCGACGAGCAGAGGCCGGGGGGCATCAGCGAAGGCATGGGTCGTCGTCTTGGGCGTATGTGTGCACGGGAGCAGGCTGTGGTGCGCGCGAGGTTGGGGGTGGTGTGAGCGGAGCATGCTGCGGTGCGCGCGAGGTCGGGGGTGGTGTGAGCAGGTTGCGGTGCGCGCGAGGTTGTGTTGGGTGTGGTCAGCGAAGGCGTGGGTCGTGGTCTTGGCCGTATGTGTGCGGGGGAGTGGGCTGCAGTGCATGCGAGGTCGGGGATGGTGTGAGCGTGAGGCCACCATCAGCCAAGCTCCTGCCAAATGCTGGCTTGGGGGCCAACGGTTGGCCCCCGTACACACTCACAGAGCTAGAGATAACCCGCTGGCCCCCCTACACACACAGACACACACACATGTAGTAGTGTATATACTATATTTCCATGTTCTACCGGAAGATCCATTTGATTTTGCTCATCCTATCGATGGAAGTACCGTGAGGCCAGCCGCAGCCTTGGAGACTTACCTGATGGCCGGTGTGTTGCTCATCCTATGGATGGAAAACTCTTCTCTCTCTCTCTCTCTCTCTCTCTCTCTCTCTCTCTCTCTCTCTCTCTCTCTCTCTCTCTCTC